TATAATTTACTATCTCAGTCAGGCAAAATCCTTTGGATAAGGAAAGGTCCACATCTTTAGGCAAAAGATGTAATAGTTATCCTCTTGCTCAGGGGCATTTGCTGCTAAACAGATAATTGACTCGGTTGCTGGCACAAATGTTTTCATAAACATTGAAAAGAAAGGGATGCATGTCTTTTCTCAGGATACTCCTTAGCTCAGCATGGAAGAATTGCCTTAGCAGTAAGCATTGCATAGATCAGGTACAAGTCTTTCCATGAAGGCCCTATTCAGGCTTCTCTGGATAGCCATGTGGAGATGTCTTTATGCAGCCCTTGACATCTTGACATGCTCCAGCATAGCAGAGGGAGGGACAAATGTACTCAGGTCATAACAAGGCACCCTGGTCAATGTGGGACACATCTTTTAGGAACATAAGTCCTAGGAATTTGACATAATAACTCAGCCAGAATCCTGTAGGGTTTTTTATTTATTTATTTATTTATACAATCTGTGGAAATGGTGATTCGGAGAAAGAAAGAATCTATGTAGTGTATAAGTGAATGTGTGTGTAAGCTGCTGAACCTGCCTACACCTGTCACGGAAGATCACCCCAGCAGCAAAAACACACTGATGGTAAAGGAGTGGTGATGAGATTCCATCTGAAAGTAGTTCAGGGTACCACAATATGATTAGAGTCAGTAAAGGCTGATCATGACAGAACATCATCAGCTTTGCCATCGCTTTGCTATTCTCATACTACAAGTCACCCACTTTCACCTGTGTGTATCCTTCTCAAAAAAGCCTATCAGTTAGGTCGAGCCTTTGAGTCCTTAAACTGTCTGCATCATTAACCACAAGGCTATCAGAAATGACTGATGCTCTAAAAAAACCCCTAAATTCATACACGAACACTAAAAGGACTTGTACCTTAGGTGTGGGAGAAAATTGACAGTATCCTTTGGAGGTTTTTTGGACTAGATTTGGCCTTGCCCAGTTAACCATGGATGTTTTAGTATTGTCTGTGAGTATATTCTTATCTGTCAAGTATTTTCAATACTTGGTGATATTTAAGTAATTAAAAAAAATCATCGTCGATCCTCTTTAGGGAAAGAAAACATTTACATTTTTAATATTACAAAAAGTAGAATTGCTAAAAGCTATAAATGCATTTTTGGGCCTCTGTAGCCAACTGAACAGAAATTAAATTAATTTAGAGACTGAAAAATATCTTCAGATTTAAAGGGGGGGAGAGTCCATTTTTCTGTGGTTTTTTGGTGGGATTTGGTTTGTTTGGGTTTTTTTTTAAGACTTCATATTTACAGTCTGGGTTGGTTTTGAAAATAATCTAATTCTGCCATAATCTTTTGAAGTAAAAGAGACTTCTGTATATCTTTGTAGATGAAGTTAAAACTAATCATGATCTTAAATTGGATTAAATAGAGCTTTATGATTATAATTACTAGATACGTGTGTCCCAAGTGGGCAGGCTAACCTTATTGTTTAATACAGCCAGAATCTCAGAAATTTTTATACTGACTATATACTACTTTTGCAATAATTCTTCCAATGTTAATATTACAGAGTGAAAACAGGATCTTGTCTCTTGAGTGAAGTTTTGTGGCCTTAATACAGCAAAGTACTGACTCCCAGAATATGTAAACAGTTATTAATATTATGCTTGTCAGCAGTCCCACTGACATCAGTGAAGAGTCTGAAACAAGATAGAAATGTGATTCTTCCCTGCACTTTAGAGAAATGCTTGGAAAAACATAATAAATCAGCATGAGGGTTCACAAGCTCATAGTGAAGTGTGATAAAGTGCTTTACTGAACTAGAACTAGTGTTTTTCAGTATCTTGTAAAACCAAGCACTGTAAAACATCAAATATTTGACACAAGATTTTTCACATTTGATGTGTATAACCTTAAGATCATTGGTAAGAATTCATCTGGACACCTGTGTGAATGGATTTTATTTCAACTTTTGAAGTCGAGACATTAACTTCTAATGCGTTTTTGATGGACACAAAAGGAAGGGGCTGATGGGCTTTGAAGACGGGCAGTGGAATCTCGAGCTTTTCTATGTGTATCGTTAAAATGTTGTGGTGACCTAATGTTGATAATCTTTCCAGAAACTGATGGGCTGTCTCCACTTGTGCTTGCTTTTGGGGGCAGAAGGGCTCCACGCTATGTGTAGTAGCCTTGACTGCCCAGTCATTCCCCCCATGAGGGGGAAAGCTGGAACATGTGGTGGCACTCCTTCTGCCGGTGCACCCAGGATTTTTTCCAAAGAGAAACCATGGTGCGGAAGGTACAGAGGAAAAGTTTAGTGCCATGTCATCAGGATGCGACTATTGGATGCCTAGACGAAAGATTTGGGAGATGGTCTCAGGTCTCACAGTGCCTACTCCTTTGATGGGAGCTGAGGAAGCAGAGAAACAGAACCAGGGAGGAATAAATTACCATGTTTGGACTCACTAATCAAAGAAACCAAGAAGTCTTATTTGACATGAATTAATAACTGAAGAAGTCAAAATTAAATCTAAATTTCTCAGATGTGTTTTAAATCTCAATTTTTCTGAAAAAAATAATTGTGTTTGCCTGGTAAATAGTTTCCCTTTTTTATGTAATTCTTGAGTTGTTATTGTAGGAATATGTTCATGTGTTCTTGAAAAAATTGTCTTACGGTGAAGACTTATTGTGACATGATAGTTGGGTGAAGATATCTTGAAAAAAAGGAGTTTTGAAGCAAGAAATTTTGATATGGATTTCACGCAATTAGTGGTTCTATGGCTTGTCCTTTATCTGTAATTAAAAAAGTTCCATTATCTCATAAGAAATTGGTTACTTTTCTTAATGAAAGTTATGAGACATTTTCCTTTTTTTGTGCAAAGCATTAAAATATAGGAGTAGTTTACTTCAGAGATATGCAGTGAAATGTATATGACTTTGAATCCTGCATTTGCTTTCAGTAAGCTATGACAAAAGCTTTTGATGACAGTGTTCTGTTGGTTATTTGTACTATTATCCACTTGTGGTGTTGTTCTTTCCTCTTCAAACCAAATCACATGGTTTCTTGCCAGAAATAATCACAGCAAACCTAGTCAGAATTAGCATGCTCTAAGTAATAATAGTGCTCTAATAACATGCTCTAATAACAGTAACACAGCTGACACTTCCTGTGACAAACCTGAGATACTGTTTGGCTATATTACTAGGTAAATACATTTGAACTAAAATCACTATTACCTAGACTTTCAGAAATCTTCAGAATTTTGAATATCTCACAGTTTTTGGAATTAATTCCATTCTAGTTTAAACTACGCTTGTATAGAAATTAAGACTTTATTTTGCTAACCTTCAGTGGGAATTGGCTAGTGACAGTAATGAGCATTATTGTAAAAATGGAACATTTGTACAGAACAGTATTACCCATTGTAATTCCTCTATTAACACTTGTCATAATGTTCCTTCACCCTTCAAAAACCTATTTTGTTCAAAATCTTAAGGGATCAATCCTTTTCTATATACAGAGTGTCATTCTAATACATTTTGCTTTTCATGGAGTTTCTTTTCCCCTTTTTTTATGTAGTATACCTTTTGCTACATTTATGGATTTCATTGAGACTGGATCTCTAGAGCTCTGAAAACTGGAGAAATTGGGAACTATTTATCCTCATTCAAATAATAAATGAGATGTGAAATGAGCTTCATGGTAGATGAGTTCCCTGGAGGTTGTTAAATAATAGCTTATGAAGTTTGCAGAAATTCAGCTGGCAAATTCATTTAAGCGGTCAACGTTTAACCACAGCTGCAGAGAGACTAGGTTTTGTACTACAGCACTAACTCATAATTCGGTCCTATTTTCAGTTTTAAGTCTATACCTACACTTCTGTTAACATTTTCTGTGTTACTGAGTTCATGCTATATGCCAAAGTGTCAGAATCCCCAAGTAAGAACCTAAATAAATAAAATAATCATTTAGGTGGGGAGATTTCAAGTCATACAATCATAATAATCATCATAACAATAAAGAGGTATTCTGAATTAAATTACCCCTGCAGAACTGTGTCCTGCCACTTCTATCTTTGTATATTTTTATGCTCTTAATAAAAGTATTCCTTCTTAAGGTGCAGGAGTGCAACCTCCTCTAGGGAAATGGTGGAAGATGATACGCAAGATGTGTAAGATGTGCCATAAGTATTTAAAAAAAAAAAAAAAAAAAGAGGTAAAGAAATAACTTTAACATTGGATCACCAAAACCATTTCTTTATCTTTTTTTTTAAAATGTATGCTTTGAGGAGGCTTTATTTATTTTTGTTTTTTATGAATAAGCATTTATAAATTAATTAAATTAAGAAAATTCTTACTAAATCTTTCCCTAATCACCTGCTTTGGATTTTTACCATTCAGTAACAGTCAGAAGAAAAGAGGCTTATTCAGTCATCCAGAAAGTATTTCACAAGTACTAACATCTCCCATTCCTTGGCTGTAGACAATAACGAGAAAGTAAGCGTATAAGGCATTGGCAACCCTAATGAAATAATAGAATATTTTTTTTAAAAGGTTTCATAGCACATCTTTAACCTGCTTAATTGTTTTCATCACAGTGGGATTTGTATAACGGTATATAATTTATTCACATGAATGTTATTATAATTAATCATGATTAATGTTATTACAATAAGTACCAAAGGAGCTAATAATAATATGCCACTTATGATAATGTCTTGCCATCATTTTATATCACAATCATGTTTCAGTGGATTTACCCAATTGTGAAACCAACCGTTCTGTTATGGTTCACTGTGATTAATGTGACCACCAGTGAAAGCTGATAATAATTAGTCTCTTTCGTAAAGTGTCACTAAATAGAATATATCCCCTAGAACAAATTTAATCTCATTTTAAGTGTGAAACATGGTAAATGACTCCTCTGTCGATTGATATGAAATATTTAATGAGAAGTGGAAATCTACTGTACACTGAAAAATGTTTTTGTAATTCTTGTTTCCCTAGATCTTGGTGAAAGGTACTGTAGGAGATGGTTTCACTGGAGACATTGGACTTGATGACATGTCTTTTCTAGACTGTACTCTTTACAATGGTAAGAGCAAGTGTACACCTCCCAGCTGTGAGCTGATTCTTTGCTGTCATTTGTAAATATTTCTACTGGAAAAGCAAAAACCAGATCAAACTGCGACTCATGCCTGTCAAGGAAATCCAGATTTGTTTCCCTGCTTCTCCGACCTTAATATCCAGGCATCAGCACAGAAGTTTCCGCTGTGCCCAAAAAGTCCAAAAGAGACCCTCAGTAAGAGTGTGCAGCTTCCAAACTCTTTGAGGTCTTGATTCCTAGAAGGAAAAAGAAACTTAATTATGTGTAAGTAAACTGACCTTTCATTCAGCAAATTCAGTTTGATACAGCCTTCTGCCTCCCCCCAATAATTCTTAATGTATTTACTGTGCCAGTTGCTCCCACATTACAGCACACAACCAGTTCAGATGACAGAGCAGCCTGTCCTCAGAAGTCATTGCTCCTAGGGTTGTACAATGTCTACAGAATTGTGAAATAGTATATCCCAAAATACATGTGCTTCAAGACACCAGATTGCAGAACTGTCACTTCATCACAGAAGGGATTTTAAGAAGAGTAGTGTTAGCTGCAGCAGGTGTTACAGTGGTGCATATGGTGTGACAGTTGATGTACAGTCATAATAGGGCTATAGAACAGCAAACAATTCAGAACACTGCCTGAATATTAGTATCCTAGCACTAATTCTAAAACACCCTAGTGCAGATGCATTTTTATTCTGCTACTCCAAAAATTTCTTGTAGATATAATTAGGTCTACTAGGAATATCAAGTGTATATGGCATGTTTCTTCTGCAGATAATTATCTCATATTTTACCAAGTTTATAACATTTATTATAACATTTTGAATATAAAGGTTTTTGTACATAGTCAGTTAATGTATAATGCCTTATATTTGAGGAAGAAAACCTTAAAAGAACTAATCAGAAAATCCCTACATGTTTTCAAATGAGATATGAAAAAAAAGTTTTAAAAATAAACAAGAAGAAAGTTGGAAAGTACAGAGGGTCAGAGTTTCAAAGTTCATAAATAAGAAAAAAGCAGCTCATTTTGTGTGGAAAGATAAAACTAAAATACTGAAGTATAATGGTAGACAGAGCTGAATAGGAAACAGTTTTTGTGTTCTGTACATTTTAAAAACATTTTTAGTTTTGAGAGCAATTTTTTGAGATACTCCAGAGTCCTGCCTCTATTTTACTCTCTCCACACCATAAAAAAATCCCAACAACCAAAAAAGAGTCAAAGAGACTGTGGAAACAGTCTGCAAAATAGTCAATAGCTATGACATACCACCATATTTAACGCAAGTTCGATCAGGGAAAAAAGCAGGGCTCCCATGTCCCTGCACCCTAGAATTAAGCACTAGCTTACCAGTTGCTCTTGTTCCACTTCAGATAACCAAATACTGACCAGGGAGAGATGGACTTGATAGCTTGGTGGTAAAGTCCTTCATCAGTAATATTAAAGATGTCAAAACTTGGGCATATTGCTTTGATGCCTCATTTGAATGCCCTAACCAAAGATTATTCAATAATGCTTGCTCTGGACAAAATGGTATTTCATAAATTATAGAAAATTAATTATTTCAAAAGAGAGAAAGGAGCAGATTCTCCTTTCTTTTCAGGTGTCGTGAAGGTTATGGTACTTCAAAATTTCTTCTCCTGTTCCAGTGGATTGGGAGCAGAAACTTGAATGTGGCATTTATATTTAAAAATTTCTGACCAATAAGGTCCTTGCTATTATTATGACATGTAGATACATTTATTCTATCATGCAATTATTCCTTCAGAAGATTCATTCCCCTAAATCTTTCGTTTGAGTCTTAGGATATTATGGGTGTATCATTCATTCGATTGGAGTATAATCCATTTGATGTCATAGATGTGCTTTCTACCTTACAAAATAGAAACGGCTCCTGCTTGTGGAGAATTTATTATCAGTCTTAGTGCTCCAGGCGTCGGGGGGGGGAGGAAAATTCCTTGCTGTCTCAGACACATTTTATATAAAAAGTCTTCACATGTACTTTTTAATTAACTCAGGTGTATTGCTAGGGTGTATTGTGCACTACAGCTAATAGTTTCGTTAACGATTAAATTTAAAAAAAGCGTTTTATAATGAAAATTCCTTTTATGGACAATAATAGCAAGGGTTTTCAAGAAATGAGAGTAAAGCATGAAGAAAGGTGCGTAGTAAAGAATGGGAGGAAAGGCAAAGACAATTGATTTGAAAGAAGTAGTAATGAGTTTGAATGAAACATATAGGAAGTGGTGGAACAAGATGATGACCTCAGAATAATTTTTCTAATGAGAAAAAAATATTCTTTTCAGTGATAAAATTACAAGAGAAAAAGGTTAGGTAATAATTTCCACAGTCATTTGCAGTAATTGACGTGTTAAAAAAAAAAAAAGCCATTATCATCAGAATAAACTGTTAGCCTTGGCTCACAGGGAAACTAAATTTTTGTGATTGTTCTGTCAGTCTCCATGATATTAGTTTTTTTAAATGACTCACTGACTGTGACCTGAAAGACAGGTAGGAGGTGTAAATAAATTCCTGCAAGTGTCGAGGATTGTATGAATGGTGGTTGGTTAGCATGACCAACCTGGTGCCTTCCACTGAGGAAATGTTCAATTCAGTTCCTGCTGGGCAACGTTTAAGTCATTCAGCTTGGCCACCCAGCCATGTTTCCAGCAAAGCTATACCCTTGACAAAGGGTAGGAGTGGCAAGGGGAGAAATCATTACAAAACTAGAATGCCTTAGTGCCACTGCTCAACATTTTGTTGGTTTGTTTTTCAAAGGAAACTTGCCAACAATCTCTACAACTACTTCAGGAACTTCAGTTCCTGCCACGCTCCCTATGAACAACTGCACAGAGAAGGAGTTTGTCTGTAGAGCCTCTGGCCATTGCATCCAGATGATCCAGAAGTGTGATTTTAGACCTGACTGCTCTGATATGTCTGATGAATCAGCCTGTGGTGAGTATACTAAATCTTGTACTTTGCTACCTTATTAGTTTGCAGCTGTTAAACACCTTGCTTTGACTACTCTATATTCACCCTTGCAATTTGGTATTAGCACCTAGATGCTATTTTTAATATGATTTTCCCCAGAAAAAATAATAATAACTTGCTCTTAATGTGGGAATCTGAGCCGTTATGCACTTTCTGCCTTCTAATGGGCTGATTCAGACTTGACATTCCAATTCAACTTACTACTGAAATGGGGTGGGAGGGAGGAAAGGAATCCTCAATTCCCCAGTGATTGGTACTATACATGACAATTTTTTTGAGTGAGCATAGTTTCTCAAATTAAATGACCTATGACTTATTTAAATCCTCCAAATGTTCACTAGTGCAGACTGGAAGAAATAATTACTTTACAGTCTCATGTTTGGGGTGCACATCTGGGTAACTTGGGTCCAGTTCTTACCTACTTCAAAGAATATGGGGTTTGTTTGGTTTTTTTTGGTTTTGTTTTTTTTATACAAAGTATTTTCATCAGCAGCAATGACTGTGAAATTCAGCCTACTCCATGCAGAAGTGACTTCCAGCCTGTAAATTCCTAAAGCCTGATGGTCAGATGGGAACACTGGAACTGGAACAGTGGACTAGGGTCACCACATGTTGTCTGTAGAGGTCCAAGAGAATTGTTGATTGCTTCTGAGTTGCAGCAGTTTATACTATAGCATTTTAGAAGAAACTGTCAATGACTTTGCTTTGCCTTAAAGGACAGTACTTGAAAATACTGCTGTACCGAAGCTGATTAATGGGGGGGACAGACATCTAGAGACAGTGACCTCATCAGCCTTTGCAAGATAAACTATTCTCAATGAAGATCAAAAACCTACATTCATTACACATTGTGTAGGGAACTCAATCACCTCTCTCAGGGCTGAGGGCTCAATGAGGAAAAGTAACATTATACTCCCTCTGTCTGTTTCTTATGTGGGAATAACTCTGGAAGGAATGAATCTGATATATAAATATCACTGGGTACTTTCCTGTAGTGTGAAAAAACACCAGTCGTTGAAATTCTGCACTGAAAAAGAAATGCAGAGCACTTTGGATAGAATGGTTTGTTGGGGGTTTTTTCCCCCTCAGAAATTTACATTGCCTTACAAAACATCCTTTCTTTCTGAGAGAGATAAATACTGTGGCGAATACACCTTTACATATTTGCTCTGTCTGAAGTCTCCCATCACTGCAGCAATAATGGCAATTTATCATTCAAATGACAGTGCTGGAATAGGAGTTAAGTATGTCCTGACTGAGGGCAGAAATATGTTCTCACAAAGGTGTTATCTTTCTCAGAGGCATTTGAAACATAATGTTTATAAAACACATTAAAAAGGGGGGAATAAACATGTGATACTATGCCACTCATCATTCTCAGGAAATGTCACAAATCTTTATATGGGTAACTCATGAGATCATACTGGCTGTGGTTTGCTTCCTTACTGGTGATATACAAGCTATAAATCAAAACACACTCCCTCCTTCGTCTACCATTTTTAGCCTCCAAGTAAGGAAGCATCAGGCACATTCTCCTAACTCACTGTGGTTTCTTGATGTAGAAGTTACCTCTGCTATGCTAGCATTTGAGCTTTGTGGGTTAAAACAAATTCTCGTTTCCCTGCACAGTTCTCACAGCAGTCACTTAGACTTGAGTATAATAATCTGTTTCAAAGTTCTGGAGAGTGACAAGACTCACCTTGGATCACCTAGACGAAGTTTCTGCAAAATATTCAGGAAGATGTACTGGAGAATAAATATTCATAACAGAAATGGAAAATAAATAGGTTTCTTTCCCCTAAATGTTCTTACAGGGGGGTGCATTGTGAAGGGGGGATGGTAGTGAGCTCACTTTTTTTTTGTCCAGTTGCTTAGGAATCAAAAACTGAGGCACAGGCAGCTGCATATTTATGTGGTAAGATAACAATGCAGTATTTGATGCCAATGCCAAATACCTGCATTATTATGTGGCTTTTAGGTATTGTGGGGACTGCTTGAAATATGGATTTGTTTTTTTAGAGTTTTGGTCATGGACTTTGTACACAAATTACAACGAGTTGTTAATGTCATCAGTCTACAGGACTGAAGAAAGAACCATGCAGCAGCTGACAGATTTGCTGATGAATTTTACATGCATTTCATTGTATATCACGCAACAGATTATTAGAATGGCCTGAAAGCTGGTCAGAACACATATGAAGGTAGATACTGAGGTGCAAAAGAATTGGTGTATACCCAAATTCAGAATCTGCCTAATAGAAAAGAACACAGAAAAATATAATTGATATTTTATCCATAGAGGAAAAACTGTGCATGTTAGGACTGTGTAAGTATTCATGGATACTATAAATAGAAACTTTTTTATTGCCATGTTACTTTATCATAAAATTAATTAATGCTTTCCAATTTTTATATAAACATGAAGTATTCACTGTTCATTTTTAAAGTTATGGAAGTCTGCAACTTTGAAGATAAAAACCAGTGTGGATGGTACCAACCAGCCTTGGAACAGATGTCAGGAAATGATTCCATCCATACCACAAACCTATTCAAGTGGGAACTTGGAAGAGGAGCAAATCTCTACCCTGGGCAAGAAAAACACTGCCCATTAATTGATCATACTACGTGAGTACAATTTTTCAGGTGCCTGAATCTTTCTTGGACTGTGTGAATTTAGCCATGTATGGATTATCAGGAGGAAAATCTGCTCAGTTCACAGTATTGAAGCAGTTTACCGATTTATTAATGGCATGTAATTAACTTACAATGCAGGATGAATAATATCTGTACAACAGGTGAATCAAAATACAAAATGTTAATAAACAGGTACAAATTTCTAACCACGCTTCTATAAGTAATTCCCAAAATTTCAGTACCTCTCCATCCAGAGAAACATGTGTGCACTCCCTCTCCCAGAGGACATGTGGTGTACAAGCATGTTCCCCTGTACAGAAAAGCGAGTTTGGAGACATGGCTGCTCCAGCTTTATGTGTACACATGCTGCTGCCTATGAAATCTGTTAATACATATGCCATGAGAAATCAGCCCTCCCTGTGGCACCCTAAACTGCCATGTCAGCCCACCAGCTGGATGCAGGCTATTTGCAGCATCCAGTGGGGACGATGCTCTGTCTGGATGCAGTGGTTGTGGCACCAGCAAGATGACCTCTGGCATGTCAAAACCAGGTTTTGGCTCCTGCTGTTTCCACGCCAAAATGTCTCCCCACTATTACAAATTTTCATCCTACTTTTATACTTCTTTTCAAGCTGACTTCTCCTTTGTTTAAAAGCTGTCTTTGCAATTCACTGGCTACTGTTTGATTTAGTTGATGGTGGTCATCATCTTGATCAGTTTTGGGTGAATACCTTCTCAGATGGTCTTTATTCACACAGACAGTGTACGCTCGCTTTTTCTCCCTTACCAGCTATTGTTATCCCAGCAGTTTTGCCCAAGGGTGGGCAGTACAAGTCGTTACCCCAACAATGGGTCTTGTGAATTCTGCTGTCATTTAATAATTAACTTATGCACTTCAAAATGACTGTAATTAGAGTTAAATTGAGTTTAGTTGATATTTTACCATTTTTCTGATAACTTATATAACTTCATAGTAAGATGAAAAATATCTCTGTTCTCTCAGTGAAGATTTCTAAATTAATTTTGGATTCTAGGTAGATTGTTTATGATAATTACTAACTCCTCCCAAAGACATTCCTTTGATTTGTCTCAAAGAGCAAAAATTAGCTTTTTTTCCATGGAGATTTGGGTTTACCTGTTTTGTTTTGTTTTGTTTTAATTAAGAAATGTGATTAAAAAAAATGCAATTTATATTCCAGTTAAAAGTAATAGTTAAGATTTATTGAGACAAAATCCGTACAGGTGACTAGTAAATGTATTAAGTACAAACAACTTTCAGTGTCATACAACTACAATTCATCTAATAAGGAAATTTCTGTACAGCATCATTCTTCTGAACAGAAGAATACTTGCCTAGTTCTAGTGACAGGCATGTTTACTTTCTGTGACAGTAGTCCACAGAGTACAAAAATGGACTCTAAATTAAAACCACTCCAACAGAGTCTTTGCTATATTGCTACAGTTTAAAAATGAGATTATATTGCATTTACTCAGCCTGAGTATCACTATCTATCACTATGAAAGAGTCAGCTCAATATATTAGTTTCACTGTGTACTTCATTAAAATCACTATATATTTTTACCGAAAAAAACCCCAACCCCCCAAAATCCTCATTCAAGAATAGCAAAAAAGAATTACAGTGCTACCTAATTGTTTCAGGGTCTCTACATTATACACAAAGGAAGTATATTCCATAAAAAAGAGCAACTATTTATGATAAATTGGCTGTCAAACCTTTCATTGATTGCTATTTAATTGTTATATATTAGCTGATACCAGCACTGTATGTGTACTTAGTAAATCCTCTCATAGCCTTTCCACTAGATTTGCATTGGCACAGTGATACATGAAATTGTATTTACTGTTTTTCAACATATTTTCGGGGTTTAATGCAACTAACAGTATATCAAAAAGGACTGATGAAAAGAGAAAGTAAATGATCCATAGAGATTGTAGTTTTCAGGCAACACTGAAATGGATTGCTGTTGTGATGTTTCACACCAGATGTAATTTGGTTGTACTGTTTCCCCATTCGCTTTGTTTATTGACCTGTAGAAGAGAATGGGAGCATGATGCTTCCAAATTACAGCAGGAGATGCAGAGCAGCAGTTTTGTTGAATTAAAACCCTGCAACGTTTTGTTTTATTTTCTCATCCATTTTCCCAAAATTCCCATGGACTTAGATGAGAGAAGCTGTAACACTGTAATCCTGTGTGTTTGCTTATTAAAATAAAGCATGCAGGATTATGTACAGAAATGCTTAGATTCATCTGATGCATGAGCGGATGACAGTGCAGCTTACAACGAGTTCTTTCAGCAGAAATACCTGCGAATAGTTGGAGACTCAAACTGTCTGCTTCCCATAGAATATGTATTTGGGAGGCTGATGAATTATAAGGTAGAGGTGTGAGTCTTTGAAGTTGTAATTGCATTAACTGAGTGAAAGTAATGACTTCAGAAATGGAGGACAGAACAGCTTGTATGTGTGTATATAAGCCCAAGGCTGGAGGAACAGAAGCCGTTATGGGAATCTGCTATGGCAGCCTGACAGTTCTTGGCTTGAGGTGGGGAAAGGCTGGCACATGTTTTGCAAAGAACTAGGTGACATTGGCATTCTGCACTGAAAAGACCATTATACGTTTATGAGTGTAGAGCTCTTACGGCACGTTTCTACACTCAGCAAATGGGAATTCTCTATTACAGTTAGGTTTCAAAATGCTGTAATAATGAAAGTATCAATTTGTGTAGGCTTAAACTAGTGCATAGAATAGACACCTGAAAATGAGTAACTCCATTAATTTATTTCCATTTTAGAGAAACTGGTTAGTGATGTAGCAAATTCTTTGACATTATTGATGATATTTGGGTACACCTGTTATTTGAAAACTTTATAGGCACTTAATTGATATGATAATTCATACCCAAATCTGTCATCAAAACTAATGAATCAAAACAAAAAAGGATGTGGAACTAAATTCTAAGCTCACATGATAATTATTACTGTGTAAATAGCTCCCTTGATAACCATATGTTTAACACATCTGTCTTGCCTTTGTGTCTGCTTTTCAGACAATCATTATCAGAATTTAGGAAAATTTAGGAAAAATTAAAAGCTTTAAGTGATATACTTAAGCCCAGCAGTTTCTTCAGCAGTCAAGAAATGTTTTAAACTTGAGATTCTAAGAGCTTCAAAATAGGTGAAAAAAATTATAAACCCACAGGAGACTGCTCATGAAACATTGGAAAGGAGAAAGCTGAATTTAACTACTTGAAGGCACTTCTTTTTTTCATACTGCATTTCACTTAGCTGATATAACTAAACCCCAAAAATATTTCTATTATATTACATGTACAAATCACCCTTGTTCTGTGCCATTAAGCCTGACAGAGAAGAGACAATAAAAGGAGCATCGAAATCTACGTTGAAATGCATTTTTCAGTATATGGTAAATATTATGTAGTCTCCAAAATAGTTAAGTCCAGTTAAGGAAGGGTTCAGAGACCTGATCAACTATGACCTGGAAAGTGCTGGGCAAGGAACGTTGAGACAGCCTTATATGCACAAAGCTTTATTTGGAGCACCCATAGCTGGATACATTCACTCTACAGGTAAGATTTTCTCTTCATAAAAAAACAAAGGAGATAGAGGTACAACTGTCTCCAGTGGCCAGACAGGGAAAGAAGCAACAAGGTGTTTCACAGATGAGGGTCCTCTCCAATACAGCATATTTCCCCCTGTAACTCTTTTTCCATAGCAGCTATATAGTTTTTTTCATCAGGACTGGACTGTCTCAGGATTTGTGAGGTGCAAGGGCATGAAACAACCCATATGAACAACAAAGGGAAAAATCATTGCTGCAGCAGCCTCCTAGTGCCTAGGTGGTAGGGTCCAAAGTTGGAAGTCAAAGGCAAACTGTAGAACTGCAAATGGGAGGATGAGAGGAGCCCAGGCCACTCCTCCAATCACTGCAGTAGCTGCCTTGAGCTACCCAAAAGACAGGTGGAGCTCTCCATCCTCCCGACACTCTTGGCACAGACAGCTACTTCCTTGACCATTGTAGGAGAGCTTTTTTGAAGTTGACTTGTCTTCCCACTAGCTTCATGCCAGTACTTCATTCTTCATTCCAGCCACCTTCTTGATTCAAGGAGTGCTTTATATCGAAAAGCAAACCTTTTAAAAGCCTTTTCCAATATTGGGATAGCTTTGTCCATGTGACGTTTAGATGTAGCCCTTGAGACACTTGTGTGCTATATGCAAATATCTCATTCAAACGCTAGAAGATGACTTCTTCACTTGCATGATCCTACATGTGTCTCAAAAGCACGCGTAGTCTCATATGGAAACAGTATCTTCTCTAGAGTGACTTGTGATACAGAAGTTACAGGAAGATGCTTAAGTTAGCTCAGCGAATATTTAGAAAACATATTCTCTTATAAAAGTGATTCAGCCAAATATTTTTCTAAAACCAGTAATTTAGCCTTTCTGTCTACCCAAGAAGATCAAAGTAATGCATTTGTATTTTTACATTTATTATATTTATATTACTACAAATAATTAAAGACTTGTTGAAAGTCTTGACTGGGTCATTTACAAAAAAATAAAAATGTCTTTGACAATTTATTCTATAATCCTTTTTTGTTAAATTAGGAATTTTTTAGAGAATAAGAATTCAGATAATCAAGGTTCAGAAAACAGGGTTTCCTCTGCAGTCTTTTTTGAACAAGGTGCAGCTTAGTATATGCTTGTTCTCTAAGTGGTTGTGAAATATGGACTAATTTGTGTTAGTGCTTCATTAAAGTATTAATAAAGCATTGCAGGTAATCAAACGCTTTACTGTGCATGCTAGTAAATATCCAGGGTGATGATAAGGCAAGAAACAAAACCATAGATGATTAGACATTTGATGCTAAGTAAAAAAGTAGTTATGGAGGAACTTTCTACAGTAGCATACAATTTTATACTAAGCTGTAATACAGAAAATTGCTAATT